AAGAGATAATATTATTATTAATATTAATAATAATAATAATAATAATAATAATTTTTTATTTTTTAAAAATGATTATTATTATTTATGATGATTATTATTATTATTGCTGTTATTGTTAAGGTTGCGTTTGTGATTGTTATCATCAGTGCTTTGAAAATTATTCAAGAAAGAAACATACTAACAAGAAAAGTCTTGCACTGAACTTTTATAAGTCTTTGTTTGTTCTGTCCAACAGAATGGTTGAGAGAGGCCGGAGAGCGAGCGCCGAGGGCAGCAGGGGACGACCAGAACATGGAACGCGCCGCGAGTCGGCCGCCGGACAGTGGCGGTCAAGCTCGGAACAACGGGTCGGGTTGGGTGACCGGTAGTGCAGGACGTCATAGTCCTCTGGACGCTAGCAGTAGCAGCCCTGGTGCTGCGGGCAGACGGGGGTCTACAGCAGGACTCGAACCCCCAGTGGCCCACAGTCGAGCCGGGCGGACAAGCAGTAGTGGTAGCGGCGATGGGGTAGTTGTGCCTGCGCACAGTAGCAGCGGGCGAGATCGTCGGCAGTCGTCGCTTGCGTCGGAGGAGGCGGCCCCTTCATCTTCATCATCTCCCACGCCCTACAACACAAAACCTCTACACCCCAGTACTCCTTCTTCTTCCTCTTCGTCCCCTTCTGTATCCTCCCCGTTCGTCCCCATCTCCGCAGCAGCTGCGGCATCATCGTCGTCGTCATCATCTCCATCTCCTTCCCTGTCGTCGAGCTCTGCGGCTCCCCCACCTCCCCCTTCCTCATCATCACCGCTACACGGACCACCGCAGTCGTCCCCCTTGCACTTCCGTGACCGCCGTGGCTCCAGGTTGTCCAGCGGGTCGACGTCATCAATCCAGGAGCACAGACAAGACCAGGCCGAGCTGCATGTAGCAGGGAGTAGTAAGGGCAGCCCCGGGTCCTCCGCCACCCCGAGACGGGTGTCTGGAGAACAGCTGTCTGCCCTGTCTCCCAAAGAGAAGTCGGCGTCTGCTACACTTTCCGCCTTCAACTCGCTGCACCGCGCGGAGCTTCAGCGACAACAACAGAAACAACAACAACATCAGCAACTACATACACAACTACATTCGCCGTCTGAGGTCCATGCTGTGTCCAGCAAGCACGCCTCGGCTGACGTGCCGTTGACCTCGTCAGCCTCGTCTTCGGGCACTAACGAGTCTCCGACTCCACCCTTCCATGAAGCCCCGCCTCCTCAGTTGCGTGCGCGTCTGCTGGACCCACCCCCTCCTCCAGTCCCTCGTGACTCGGGTGGTGGTGCCTCGGGTCTTGCCCGGATCAGGGATGCGGCGCTGTTGCGTCATCTAGAGACCGGGCGGAGTCCTGGTTCCATTGCTCTTGGCGTAGAAGGTCAAGGTCGATCGATAGCTGTCAGAGCAGGCAGTCCAATAGAACCCGGCCGAGCAGGGGATTCAGGTCTTGACCAGCGTGAGTATTTCTTCTCAACCTAATTTGTAGTTAATTGTAAGTCATTGCTTCTCGAAACCGGTTTTGCGATAAAAATCATTCTTTCATCGTATGTCATATCATATGGTACATGTATTAACACTCTCTAGGGCACTTCATTTAAGGGGGG